GCTACATGCATGAGTCCCACATAGCAAACACCATCGGTGCAGGGATGTAGGGAAGATGCCCCAATGAATTCGCACACCTCATGCTCCTCTATTCCTCCTCCATGAGCAGCGCTCAGCCCTTAGCCACACTCGGCTCACGCAGACCAAGTTTCATCCCACATTGGGTGATCTTCTGAAACTGGCCCTATTTTTAGCCCACCCCTCAGTCCCAGCTGCAGGACCCTCGGTAGCCACACGGTATTTTTAGCCTTGTCCATCTGGGTGAAGGCGCTGTGGTTTGAGCATCTGCAGCGAGGTGGCCGGGCAGCAGGAGCGAAACGGTTCCAGGGCTTTTTGGCCGTGGCCATTGTGGGGGGAAATGTGGAAGTGGCTCCTCGATCCTGCACTTGGGGAGGGTTAAATAAAGAAAAGAGCCGGTGCGGCCGGTGGGTGCCCTTGGGTGCAGCTGAGGCCAAGTGCATCAGCAAGACATGAGCGTGTAGGGCAGCAATGGAGGAGCCTCATACCCAAATCCATCCATGTAAGCCCTAAGGGCATCACCCCTGCGTCCCATCCTGCAGCACCTCCCAGGTTCCATTACAAAGACCTCAGCATTGCCCTCTGCATCACCCCAGTGCTCACCCCTCTTTGCTTTCCTGGGGGGTCATGCAGAAGGGGCCAGGGGTGCACGGCCCCAAAGAGCCAATGGCCCCAATGCTTCCCCTTTCTCAGAACAGAGCACGACGTTTCTCCAAAAACAAGAGCGACAACAACAAAAAAATAGCAACACTGGAGCTCTTACTATTTCTTTTTTTGCTCCCTTTTAGGTGAGTTTTGCTCCTTTTCGGGTGGGATTTGGGAAGTTGCCGCAGGTTTGGTAGCTTTCGACTTCGCGTTTTCACTTTTTGAAAGTCTGTTGCGGTGACTAATATCTGTCCGCCCGTATCACACTACCTTGCTCTGGAAATACCCACCAGTACATGGAAAATATAATTCAAAAAACATTTCCAAAGGGGTCTCTCGCTTTCCTTCACGTCTCACAGAGCCCCCAGGGAACTGACACCAGTGGGGACCTCGGTGACTTTGGAACCGAGTGGTGATGTCCCCAAGCGCTCACTTGCTACAGTAGCCCTGGTCTGGAGATGCCACTTTCCCATCCCACAGCCCTCCATGGCCACACAGCACCAGGCAGATGCTGTCTGTTTGTGCCCAGCATCACCTTCACACCACCGTGACCTTATGAGGCTCTTGTTGGGATCTCCACTTCCAAACTCTTCTGAGCCTTGGTGTCTGCACCACTGCAGTGCCTCGTTGTTGTGCTGTCCTAATAGATGGCATCCCATAATGTTCTAACAGCTGGACCAGGCTCTGAGCAACCTAATCCAGCTGCAGATGTCCCTGTTCGTTGCAGGGAGTCAGACGAGGTGGCCTTCAAAGGTTCCTTCCAACACAAATGTTTCTGTGATTGTATGATTCTTTGTCATCCCATGATGTCCTATCCAAGCCAAACTCTTCACCCAGAGCCATCCAGCCATTGCGGTACCACCTTGTAGGACTGTGCTGGTGCTAATAGATGCCATCCCATAATGTCCCACGGGATGTCCACGCTCGGCCCAACCCCACAGCAGCACCAGTTTTCAGACGGACGCTCTTCCCCTTGCCCTGTGCACTTCCTAGTAAAATAAGAATGTGTGTCTGCCTTCAAAGCAAAAGGCTCAGGATTTATAAATAAAAGAAATAAATGAGGGGTTTTTTTTTTGTTTTTTTTTCTTTCTGTTCCAAATTAGCCCCGGGCAGACAATGTGTACATGCAGCAAAAGACTCGGTTTCCTGTCTGTTTGTCAAGGCTCCTAACAAGCTTCCTCTGTATAACAAACCCAGCCAGGGGGCGGAAAGGGTAAGGACGGAGCTGAAATGTGTGCAGTGATTGCACAACCACCCTGGCTATTAGGGGCTGTCACTGGGGGGCTTGGGGGCAGTGCAACATCCCCCCTGCGGCCACCCATGGGGATGGATTCACTGGCCCGGCAAGTTGCTGGCATAGGGCTGAGCCTTCCTCCCCTCCCAAAATAGTTCTTCAGATCCACGGATGAGTCATTTGATTTCTTGGCCAAAAATATCTTCCTGCTTGGCGCTTGGGTCTTAAAAGGATGGGAATAGGTGGTGGGGCAGTGCTGCTGCATGGGACTGCTGATGGTAACCAGAGCAGTGTTGGAGGGATGCTGGGATGATCCATGCGGGAGTGTGGGAAGCATGGGCAGCGCTGAGAGTGATGACGCAGCGTTGTTCTTGTGGTATTTCAGGCTCAGCCAGAAGTGGGAAGTGTCAGAAATCTCATGAGATGTGGCCTGGCCTTGTGAGATTTCCAGCTGTATTGCAAAGCCCTGAGGTCTGGATTCATCTCTGACCCAGTTTTCTCACTCTTTATTGCTTATCCCCATGGATATTGCTGCTCATAGTTCCTGCTGGGGCACTCAACTGTTATCTCCGAGGGTACCCCAGGGTGAGCTGCTGCCAGTGGTGCCACAGAACCCCACAGGGTGGGGATCCACTCAGACCCCATGCAGAGAGCCTGTAGGGACAACACGTGCAGGGCTGATGCACATGGGGCCAGAGGATGCTCTTGACTTCCTGCACTGAGAGCTTGCAGGTGCTTCCTCACATATCTGCACCTGCCTCATGAACTCGTGGCTACACTGGGAGCTGCTGAAAATCAAAAATGCTAAATCGCTACAAGCAATAGCAAAAAGAGTGACCCCTCCAAAGGTGAGGGGGAAACACGTGCCCAACCCTGATGCTAGACACCTGAGAAACCACTCAGCCCTCTCTGCATGATGTAAACGTAACCGGGGACCAAATTCAGCACACTGAGTTTCACCCTGTCACTGCTGCTGCGAGAAACTTACAGTAATGCCAGAAGGGAAAGCATGGAAGGAAATTCTGATTGAAGCAGGGGCACCCCCAGCATGGCTCACAGCAGCCCCTGCAGTATTCAGGAGGGATTTGAAGCGAGAGCTCACGCACGGCATCGCAGAGCCATCCGGCTGTGTCGTGGTGTTTGCTTTCCCCCATCTCAGAGCTGCATCTCGGGCAGTCAAACACAGCTCCAAATAGCTGAGGTCCTGATAAGAGTCGTGCAGTGTGCTCACTCCTGGCACAGGTTGAAATCCGGCTCAACCCCGAGGCTTGGTTTGCCATCAAGGAGGTGAGTGTTGATGGATGAGGGGATGCAAGTTGGCTGGATGCAGAATTCCAGGTTGGAAATGGTAGAGCGATGCCTCATTGGGTTGGTCGTTGAGTCAGCACGTGTCCCCTTCCCTACACCAGCCAACGATGGGCACCAAAATTCACCTCCTGCTTGGCACACCTATTGGAAATCGGGTGGGAGAAGACTTGGAGGAAAGGCCTTTTCACAATGATCGCCCAGTGCCATGCGAGCGACAACACGCGCTTATCTCACGGGTGTCTCTCTAAGTGAAGCCGTTGCTCCGATTTGACTAAATATGGACCATCCACACCACCAGCAGCACACAACAAAGAGCTGCAGAAAGAAGAGGGGCTGTAGCGTTCACCGAAGCATTTGGGGCAGCTCTTTGCAGTGAAACTCCACATTGCCAGAATACAAAACCGAGAGCAGCTCGGTGTCGGGGGGGGATTTTTGTAGCTTTGTGGATTTTCGGAGCCGAAGCGCGTGTCTTCCGGAGGGCTATTTCGGAACCAGCTGAAATTACTGCACCTGCAGCTTCAGATGATGAAGGAAACAAGGGCTGGAAAGGTAACCATCTGAGGGATAATTGGGTCTGTTGTGAATACATCCTGAACAAAACCTGAATTTTAGTGCAGAGCCAGGCGTCGGGTTCGACTGTCCCTTCCAAATCGAGACATTCTGCCATCCTTTGCTGCAAAAAGATCTCTGAACAAAGCAAAAATTGCCTCTTTCTGATGGTGAGGGCCCTTTCTCTGATGCATCCAAACCCCGTGCCGAAATCTGGGGGTTGATGTGGAACAGGAACTGCCCTGCTTTTCACCCAGGGAAGTCACGCACCGTGAATCTCGCTGCCCAGCACGGTGACTTGTAAAGCCTATTAGTTTCTCACAACCTACAGCCAGGTTATAATTACCCCAGAGTTTCCAGTGGAAACTGAGAGTTTCCCACATTCACCCCAAGGGCAGAGCAGTAGCCAAGAAGCACTGCATGCTCGCTTTCCTCCTGCTTGGCCTGTTACTCATCTCCTTTCCCCATACATCCATCAGAGAGAAGACAGCACTGTCACTTGTCACAGCCAGGAAAGGGGAACCAAAGCAGCACTTCCCATTGAAGTCACTCTCGGTCACATCAGAAGATCCCTGCTTTTCCATTCACGACCAGCGCCATGCTCAGCCCCGTGGAGACAGTTCCCTCTCTGCCCTCGCCCCTGCCCACAGTCCCTTCCTAAACATCACCATGGGGAGCTCATGGGGTTGAGGGCACTGACCAAGAAGAGCTGTGCTGGGGGCCACCGTCCAACACCTTGAAGGTACAAACTGTATTCTGGGCTGCCCATGTCACATTGGGTTCAGGACAGCAGGTTGGCTGAGCTTGCAGACAGCCAATATTGGCTGAGGTTGGTTATGGAACATCCAGCTGGCCTTGGTATGGAGATATTTACCCTTATCTGTTGACTTGCATCCATTATCTCCTCCTTGGCTGCCTTCTCATTGCCTGATTTCCTCCACTTTCTCCATTTCCTGCTTGATGGTGAAGACCACGGCCCATCATCACCAGCAGGCCACCCCCTTGTGGAGCGGGTCTGCTCCAGGTCCTGGGGAACCCCATGGCTGGACAGGCAGCCATCCATTCATCCACCCTTGGTGATGAGCACTGAGGAGCTGAGAAAACCCCGCAGCAGGAATTTGGGTAGGAGCAACAAACCAAACCAGCAAACATTAAATGTTCAGCGTCTTTATTAAGGAGGTGCTGAGACTCTCCTCCCAAATGAAACCAGGGCTAAGAGTTGAGACCGTCTCCTAGCTTGCCCCTTTCCCTGTTCTATAACCATTCTCACTGGGAAGACCAACCTGCAGACACACCACCTCCAGCACCCTGCAGATGTGTCCATGAGCCAGATTTATCTCAGGGAGAAGTGGTTACTGCTCAAAAGAAATACAGAACAGAAAGATCCAGGCGAGGGAATCACTTGTTTCAAAGCCCCGTGTTGCTTCCACCTACGTGCTTCTTCCCAGTGGGGGCTGCTGTGCAAGTGCGAGGGGCTCCCCTCCACCATCCAGCATCACTCTGCAAAAATAGGGAAACGTTGATTTTGGTAGGAACCTCACTGGGGATCTTGGGCAGTTTCGAGTCGCAGAGCGGATTTAGAGCCACGCGCATGATTTTGGTCCCAAGACATGAGATTGGGCAGGGAATTGAACTGCTGGGGATGAGAAGGGCACCAGTGGCACAGCAATGGGGGCCTTGCTTATGTGCATGGAGCACTGATGTGCAGGAAATGTGAGTTTTTTTTTTTATGGCCATGGTGAGCAAACAGATCATTACCAAATTACAGCTCCAATTCCTGAGCTGGAGATGGCATTAAGCTGAGATCTAGATGCAATTCTCAGTCATAGCTGAGGCCTGATAGGAGACTGCTGTTAGCAGGACAATGCTGACATCACCCTCCAGCTGGGTGATGGAAATTGCTCTGCACCCACAGCCATGTACTTCTCCCTCAGTTCACAGCAATGGAAAAAAAGATTAAGACCAGAAGACATCTATATGCCAAGGCAAGGTTCCCTTTGCAGCTCATCAGAACTTGAAGGAAGAGCCATAACTTACTGCTAATTAATGCCATTGAGATTCACAGCTTGTTTCAAAATTCAAAATCACGTTGCAGTTTGTGGTTCCTGGCCTATAAAAGATCAAGAAAGGAAGTTTTACAACTGCCACTCGTGCAAGAAGCAGGACAAACACTTTAACATCCACCTACTGTCACGCACTGTGGGAGAAATAGGGAAAATGAGTTTTTCTCCAACTTCAGATTTATTGGTCTCCTAATCACCACGTTATAAAGATTTCCTTGTGCAGTGACCTGGGATATTCTTTATCTTTTTTTTCCCTTTTCTTGAGCTGGCTCTGTTTCAGAGCTGAGTCTAAGTTATTCTTCGTTCTCCTTTCATTCCTGCCCAGGTTCTCTGCTATCTGAGTGGGTTGGCTTGTGACTGCCTGCCTGCCTATATTTGACACTCCTGGCCATGCTGTTGCATCAGGGTGTTTGCACCGTTGGAAGCAAATTGCACCCAGCAAAAATAGAGTAGGACACAACATCTGGACACATGCAAACTCAGTGGGGAGGGAGGGTATTTCAACCTGGGCCTTGGTTTCACAGCCTCGGTGTCATAATAAACCCAAGGGTCTGACAAAACAAAATATGTGCCATGGTATTTCTCTGCATTTTCACAGCTGTGGCTTAGGTGGAGCTTGTTTTTATGGTCTTGTATCTGGTGTCATGGCAAAAACGATCAGAGAAATGGATTTGGAGAAATAAGTGGCTGTCGTTCTTGCTGGAGCCTGGAATCTCCCTTCCTCCATGTGAGCCCTAGTTTTTGCAGACACATTTTGCTTGGGGAACCCAGCACATCGCCTGCCCAAAGGTCTCAGAGCACAGTCCTCACTCTCAGCTCTCCCCACTGCCTCTTCGGCCCAATTCTCAGCCAACCCAAGGCTGGCAAAATGCTTTCAGAGCATCCCTCCCCTCCCGTTACCTGCACAGGGTTGATTTTATGAAGGCTGTGATTTGATGCATGAACCAAGAACCACGAGCAAGGTAGACTAGAAATCCAAATCTTTGAGCTCTGCCAAAGATGATGGCAGGTGAGTTATCCCATCAAGCTTCCTTCATGAGGCATACAGAGGTTTCCTTGGCGTTAGGACTGGCCAGCTCTTTGGGGCAGGGAGATGTCCTTCAGCTGGTGACCATGCAAAGCAAGGTGCTTCCCATATTACAACATGCTCACAGGAAGAGCCTGGAGATGCTCATCGTGGACAGGCTGCTGTGCTGAAATGGGACATTGAGCAATCAAACCAGTTGGAAATCCTGGTGTCTAGAAATAAAAAGTGACTGTTTTTCTAACGCCTGTAGGGGCCGGTGGGGCCCAGGCCAAGCAGCAATGGGTTGGAGGAAGCAGCTGTAGCTGGTTTGCATTGTATTCCTGAGCAGTTTGACTGTGAGCTTGGACCTTCCATTGAGCTGTGGTTGTCTGTACTTGGCCTGCAGAGGGATAGGGATGGCTGTAGAGCTCTTCCTGCTTCTACAGAATGAGACAGACAAAATCTCAGAAGTTAGCTGGATCCAGACCTCAACATCCTTCTAACCACCCAGTTAGAAGTCCATTTTTCACACAGGAGTCTTGTCACCATGGTATTCCAGTAATTCTGACTTCTTACACAGTATTTCAAGCATGTCGTAGAGATGAATAGGCACTGGTTGTACTTACAGAATTCTGCTTCTGAAGCCATGGGTGGTGGATCTGCCTGCATTTGTTGAAGGCTATGTCATGGAAATCTATGGGAACATCACACAACATTAAGGATCAAGGCTGATAACACTGCAGGATATATTTTTCTCCCAAGAAAGATTATTCCTGGTGGTACAAGAGACTTCCAGCCTGACATATCTCAAGAGACAGGTTGGCTTTGAACCCAAATAACATTCCAGGAACCATCAGCTGGGGGAGGCATGGGCTGCTGTGGGGCTTGCTGATGGATGAGCTGTTGATGAAGAAGAGCCAACACGAGGCACTGAGGTTTCACTTCAGTAAGGCCATAGAGAAGAACCCAAGTGAACAGAAACCAATGAAAGTCTTTGGGCTCCAAACCACTGCGATTCAATGCAGCTGCAGCGAGCAGCTCATGAGGTCAGGTGAGGTGCAGGGATGGGTATCCAGGGTGCACCTTTGGGTCAGCGTGAGATCTGCAGAAACTACTCAGAGCTCGTACAGAGGCCACAGAAAGTCTGGGCCAAAACAACATGCAGTGTGGCACAGGTACCTCGAAACCTTCCTCTGTCTGCTGGGGTTTCTGGTCCTCTGCCTTTGAGTGAGCATCAGCCTCAGATGCTTCTCTTGTGTTACATTTTGGAGACGGGCAAAGCCAGGGATGCTCACCTTACACAAGGCATTAAGTGTGATCCCAAGTCCTGTCAAAGCCTTCGTCTGAAAGAGGACAAACCCTGCATCCAACCACGGACCCTACATCGTTGTTCTTACAACTGCCCTCTGCCACCCAACCCCATGCCATGGTCTCCTTCCCAGGCCTTGGCCACCCACCAGCTGTCTCCTCTTGGTCCGGATGCTGTTTGGATTGGGAGCTGTGCTGCTGGCTTGATGGAGCAAGATGCAGCAGCAGTCCTGAACCTTCTTGGCTCTGAGGCAGCATGGCAACACTAAAAATAAAGCACAGAGTGCTCCAAACAAAGGTACCTCTGTTCCCCTTGCTCTTCCGCGGTCTTGGGGTGGAAAATGAAAGAGCCCTGAATACATAGCAGGTGGCTCCAGGCAAGCCCAATATGGTGGTTTCTGAGGAAGGACTGGCTCTGGGACATCTGGGGAAACCGCAAGCGGTGTTTTGGTGTTCAAGCCTGCAGCCTGTCATATGTTTCACAAGTAGGCACGTGTTGTTCCATCGCAGCCGCACAGACCGCAGGGTCACCTCGCTCCCTCCTCCTTCAGCACCTTGCCTGCAGAAAAGATGATTCTTCGTGAGCCAGGAGGCCTAAAGGGAAAAATTGCCCCCGGTGGAGGGATGGACGATGTGGGGTGGAATGGTTGATCTAAAAGGCTTGGAAGAAAAGGGGAAAGGTTGGCCCTCTCGCTTGTGGTTTTGTTAGTTTGATATGGGTTGCAGCATGACATGCACAAATGTGTCGACCCTTCAGTTCTGCAAGGGATGAAATAGGATTAACCACCAAAGGGACCCTAAGGACAGGAGAAAGGCTAGAGGGGTGCATGCTGCTGGTACAGTACCTCAGCACCCACCTCTGTGATTGAGCACCTCATAAGCCAAAGCTGTATTTGTAGCAGGAACTGTGGAATTCACTGCACTTGGGCTACTGACATGCATACAGGACTCTTGGCCTGCAGTCATTTCTTCTCATAAGCTCCAAAGCCTCAGGCTGTAATGCCTGCAAGGGACGCACACAAGGGCAGACAGGACCACAGGTATCCCACTGTTACAGCTGGATCCCAAGGCATGATTTAGTAGGATGCTCATCACATAAATATCCATCCCATGTAGTCCAACAGGACAGATTGCCAAAGGGGTCACCCCGGGACAACCAACAACGTAGGGCCATCCTTTCATCCTAGTGTAACCACTTTCCAGCTGGGTTTGCCATCTCAAAGCACTTTCTTGGCACTCTGAAGTCAGCAGCACGTGAGATAAGCAGCTCTTCAGGACATGGGAACAGAGAGGCTGCATGCTTAGCCTGGAGGAATGCAGCAGGGTCAACTTCAAACCCCTGATGAGTTTTTTAGTGGCTTCCCCCCTTCCCCCTCCAAGTCTCATGATCTGCTTTGACACCCAAGCAAGGGGGAGGACAGCTTTGCATCCATCTCCTCAGCATTTCCCTACAGCTGCCTGGATCTCAACGCATCCTCTGCCCAAGTACCTGTGAACCCCACCCAGTACCTTGGGCATCAGGGTCACACCACAAGGACTGTTCCTTCCCCAGCCAAAGCCTTTGGCAGGGCAGGTTCAAAGCACACAGCAGTTTGTTGATGTTTGCCCTTCACAAGGGCAAGGACATAGATCCAACAAGGTCTTCACAGTCTTCCAGACCCTATTGTATTACCCCAAAAACAGGCTAGAAAGGAAGGCAGATAGGGGGGGATGAATGCTCAGCCACCATTCCTGCAGTGTTGACTTGTAAACGAATACAGGCAGGTGACCCCTTTCGGCCCTCACTTCTTCCCAAATCCACAATTGGGAATTCCCCTGCCACAATCCTCCCACAGATCAAACCCCCTGAGATGGATGTGGAAGAGAAGACAAGGGGCAAATGAGAACCATCAAATCAACCCTTCCCATCTTGGAGCATTGTGGCTCAGGTCTCAAGGCAAGTGCACTCAGGACAGTACCGGAAAGACAGGCAGGGACCTACCCTCATGGTCTTTTGTAAAAAGACCCCACAGATATTGCATTTTTCCCCCCCTCCTCCATTGCATTATTGCATATTATCCCCTGAGACGAAGCCAGTTACAGAGCAGGACCTCCACAGACCCCACGCAAGGGAAGACTTGGGCAGGAACAAACTAGGAACCCCTCCACCACGATGAGGAACCTCACTGACAGCACCAACAAAAAACACTTTGCAAGACAAATACAAAACATAGCACTTTAATTGCAGGAAGGTACAAAAAAAAAAAAAAAAAAAAAAAGAAATTACAAAACCATTTAACAAAAAAACTTAGGCATAAAATAAATAGGCAGCCTCACTGCACGCACACCTGCAAGGTCCTTTGGTCCATGGTGCTTCATGGCTGCTGCAAGGCATGAAGCCATGCCCAAGGAGCTCCCCAGCACTGGGCAAACACAAAGCATGTTAATGAGGGTTGACACATGGAAGCTGCTGCCTGCTCACGCTTGGGAGAGACCAACACATGCATTTTTGGGACAGTGAAGCCAACCTATTAACACTACACTGCTATCTTTAAAATAGAAGACATCTGTTTGTACAAACTCTGGTTTTGGGTCAGAAAAATTAAGACCCCTATGTTCTCATAGCCAACGTTTACATATATAATTTCTGCATCGCTCTCTGAATTTCAAAATACTCCCCCCTATGACAGACAAAAAAATATAAACTTCATTGCAAAAATAAAGAGGGATTTGAGGAGGTTTTTCCCCCACGGAAAGCATACCACAGACTTCAGCAGGACTGCAAATTCTCTGGGGGAAAAATAATTACTTCTGTGAAGGATTTACTTGAGCGCTGTAAGGCCTTTCCAGGAATCACCACCTCCTTCCAATGGTGGTTCTCAAACCAAGTGGGGCTGTTGCTTTGGATCGCTGCGTTTACACAGATTTATGGACTGAAAACAGCAAAGATCAAGAACCAACTCGCCAAACAAAGGGAAATTTTGAGGCACTAATGAATCCCAACGGGTCTGGAGTCACCCAGACCCCTCGTTGTGCCCACGGAGGCTCACACAGCAATCTGTTGATTCTCTCTGAACAGCGGCCGTTGGTGTGGCCCACAGATGTCCTGGAAGATCCTGTACACCTGCTCTTGCTGCACCTCATCAGGCAGCATGGGGCTGCTGCAGGTCTTGCCAGCCTCCTCCATCACCTGCCTGACACAGAGCTGCTCCACCTAGACCAAATAAAAAAGAGAAAGGAGTTGTGAGGGCACTGGGAGAAGAACAGCCATGGCCAGGCCTACCAAAGCCTGCAGGCCCAACGCCACGATGCACCATAAGGCACGGCCACAGGAGCTGTCATAGGGAGGAGAGGACAGGCTGCCATTCTATGATTCCGTGACACAGTCAGAAAGTTGGGCAAGGATGAGCAGGACTGGGCTCTGAGCTTGGAAACCCCCTCCTTCCAGAAGCTCAGAGGTCCAGCAGGTCTTGCTTGCTGTAATGCCCACCCCACACCACAGTCTTATGTGTTCTCTGCCACCCATAAGGTGCTGTGCCTGCTGTGGACTCTTGAAATGCCCCATGCCTTGCCCCAAGGAAAGGCTGTAGGGCTGAAGAGCCAGCCAGAGGCCACCAGTTAATGCAATCATTCCAGGGACTTATCCCCTCATTTTCCACAACAGAGAGCACAGCTCCCTGAGCCAAGGAGCAGGAACAGAAGGAAACACTGACCAAGCAGCAGAGCAAAGCAGAGGCACAGGAATTGTGCAGAAAACAGCTTTTCCAAACCAGTAGGAAATCTATGAGCTGCACAGCATGTGGAAGCTTTGCATGTATACGTGATCTGACCAGGCCGAGGGGTCTGAGACAAGCAGCAATATCTCAGGAAGCTCACACCAACCAGAGATTGGAGCCAGGAAAGAAAAATGAGCAATACAGTCCAGAGAAGAGGCACAACCCTGTGTCAGGACCAGGAGCAGGGCAGATCATAGCAGCTGCCATACCTGGACGAGGATGAGCTTACACCGCAGCGGCACCGTGTCTGGGAACTCCTCTCCAAAGCACAACATGACCCTGCTGTCCGGGAAGCGGCCCTGGTTGTTGTAGTACTGCTGCAGCTCTGCAAGGAGAGA